CTGCAAAATGTGTTCGATGGATCCTTGCAGCCTTTCAAGGCAGAAAACACCGCACTGCTGTACCTCATGGCAAAGCAGCTGCATTAAGCGTAATGAGTTAAGTTTGCTTTCTTACGCTGTTGTTCCTCCAACCTTCAGGAATAATTCAAAATTTGTTCTCTTCTCTTCGTCGCCTGTATGTGGATCGCAGCCATTGTATTTTCAAAGACCGTATCTCGGGTATACGAATTAACAATCCTTTAAGCATTGCGCTACTCCTTAAAATTTGTCGCTGTTAAAAGCCTCTCCCTACTTTCCATACTGCAGGTGCCCATCAACCCAAATGACCACTTTGGAATTGTTCAGGCAAACTTGGATACTGTCTTAAGGTAAGCCATCATCGAGGCTGACGTTACATTGTTTGCAATGCTCCGGCGTCAGCGCTTCTGGCGATCCGCTGTCGCCGCCCTGTTGCCGAGTATTTGTCATCGCATTCGCCTTTGTCATTATGCCCATTTTCGGGACTTTCATGTTTCAAAAACCGTGAAATGTTACACGACGCGGCGGCAACCTCCAAGCAGTCGACAGAAGGCAATTTCCGGTGCTCTTTCAACGAGCGTCGCACGAAAGTCTCCTGTACCTCTACAGTAATCTTGTACACGTCGAAAATACGTAAATCACTAGAGCGCATCTGGCTTTCCGCTGCCCTAGAGGAACGTCATTTGTCACACCATTTTTGCCCAGTCATAATACCAGACATTTGCTTAACACGTCGATCGATCTGAGCCGATCACACAGCGATTCCACTTTCGAGTTCAATTCGCAAATGAGACTGGCTCGTTGTGGACTTTGCACAAGTTTTCTCAATGTTTTGAGCATGACTGAACACTGTTCCGTACCTCGCTCCCTAGAATATTACACATACCATGGTATCTATGTCATCGACATGTCAGACACCTCAGACAACACCTATCCATTTGTGTTCTGAAGATGGATGTCCGAAACGTCAGAGATGCGGGTAAAGTGCACGCGTGGAGTGTTCACACGAATGACGTATGCCAAGATATATGATTATGACATTTACCATCATTAAGCTCTTTCATACGTTGCTGGCTAAAAGCCTCTTCAAGACGTAGCTGCTAGATTTCTTACTGCTTTATGCGTCCAGTGTTCACCATTAACTGCCAAGCTAGCAGTTTATCCGTTACTGTGGACTTTTTCCTTCATCACTCCATAGACTCATAGATTGCCATCATCGCATCTGTTCGTAACACTTCCAGCCCATTGCCATGCAAGACACGTGGTTCTGGTTGTTACATCGCTGCAAAACCCAGGTTTCTCTCCTGGCCACTTGTACTTATTCATATATGTTATTCCACTGATTCTAAGCTGCATATGACATATTTTCACATGAATCATTTTTATCTTAGAATTCAGACGTATACATCTGCATGACAACGTAACTAGTTCGCATCTAAAAACTGATATACCCTTAACCTACTTATCATCAGCGACCAAAAACAGTCTTTCTTCGCAGTCATATTGAGCATTCCAACGCCCATCTCCATACTGACAAATTCACGAAGCATCCTACAATGCGCGGCATTCCAGTAGAAATTAACTTCATTTAGAGACCATATTACTTGTTTTACCAAAGCTGCTTGACAATCGTCTGAAAAAGGCGTCTTCTTTAAGACCGACAAAATTAGCTTCAGCAGCATAAGATCAAAGCAACAGCAGGGGATGATCGATTCGCCATATGTTGGCCAACAAATAAACGCGGCAAAATAAATGACATTTCACCGTCTTGATGCGACGAAGAAGAGAAATATCTGTTTGGCTTGAAAGTGAAAGCAGGATAGCACAAAGACAAGCAGCAGTGAATGAATCTCGAAGATTTAAAGCTGAAAAAAGCAGCTGATCGGCAAAGACTGACAGACGCTGTTTCAAAAGCAAATATCATCACCAGTGGTGCGAACAAAGCTTGTCATCAGCCTGTTACATAGCAAATCAGTGGTGATGCCACAAAACAAGGCGACCATCGATGGTGATAAGCCGAGAACTTCGAGGAGCTCACTTCACTAGCATGAAAGTAGAAAGAGACTATCGCTACAGAATTCCACCAGCGATAACAAGGCTGGTGAACGATTTGTACGAAGTGACAAAATGCGTCGTCACAAAGTAAAAATTGTTGAGGTGCTCTATGAAGCATCAGAAAGAGTCCGAAATGAGGAATGTCTGAAATTGTGATAAAATTGTCCAGGCGTGCATATGCACTCCTCCAGCAGAGCTTGAGATTATCCGAGTTTTGCAATATGCGAGTGCTACGGCATAACAGAACATGTGCAAGCCTTTCACTTGTGACAGAGTCTATTATTCTCTGATAAACCCGCGCATCGATGACAGTGGAAAGGTGTAAAAAGTATCAATCCTTCATCACGAGGACATGTTCATTCCTGATGCACTTTCGTCTCAGCTGCTTTATGACAGCTGAGACATTAGTTAGAAAAAGGCTGTGAGGAGGTGCCACGCTCTGTCTATGACCGTGACGGACGCCCTCAGTCAGCGACTAATCATTTTACTACTCAATCATTTCTGTAGTTTTCCCTTGCTCCTCCGAGTTATGAGCGTTGGGTGAATGGATTCGAAAACCGGAAATGACTAACCTGTCAGTGACTCAGGAGCGTCTACGTTTCGGCCTTGGTAAAAATGATTATCCTGTTTGCTGCAAAGCGCAATAATAGATTATTCGAACACTGCGCAATGAAAATCCCTAAATTTTCAAGCTCTAATTATCATCGTCGTAAAATGCACCTTTGAAATGGGCATCAATGCGTATTGTTTCTTCAATGGCATCCGAACTTTTCATTCGGTGTGCTTCATTTCGTTTACGTACTCTAGTGGCGGTACTTTTGTTCGACCCACCGCTCTGTGGTTCGACGACCCAGATTTTCCGGCTCTGATTGAAACGCGGGGACGTCGCGAAATTGTCTAGTGAGCAATTTCACGTCCTTCCTCAAAGTACTGCAAATAGTACGGCAATTTACGTGATTGCTGTTTACAAGTCCTTACCTTAAGCACACAAAATTGCAGTCACCAGTCCGGAAAAAATGGACGCGGCAGTGGGATGAAGTGAAGCGAAACGCCTCCGTTTCAAACCAGCCGTTTTTGATCCAGTACAAGAGACTGAATGACATGCCGAATCGCCCCCTCGGGTTAACGAGCACTGTACTCAATGTAGGGGCTTCGAGACTGGTGTTTGGGAAAGAGCAGCGTGAAACATGGAAAGGTGGGAGGTAACCGTAAAAAATGCATTCACGCATTCCGCTGTATATCACAATATATGATCAGCTGTGTGGTCAGGCAAGTTGAGTTACAGCCCTCGCAACTCATAGCAGACAACATGGCCGTACGTCTCGCATGCCTAGTATGATCGCTCCGGCATACTACACTGTCCCTGATGTGGGCGGTTCAATGACTTGCTACTATTTTTTCGAGTGGTTGCATCGAGTCAAAGCGGGGAGGGGTGAATTGCTGGATCATAAAAAGAATTAGTACTCACTGGAATTTTTTGGAATTCAAACTTAGAGCCTTCGTACTTCAAAACCCATCTTTTAGCGACTGCGACCCACAAGTGCTACGTTTATAAATTAGTACCCGAAAGTAGGCATGTGAAATGAACTTCAACTCTGAAGATACTTCATATCAACCTAGCCTGGCTTAAATTTGTGCCTAAATACCTAATGATAATCTCCACAGTGACGTTCTGGTGGACGGTTTCGTTATTGTAATCGACTTGAGTATGCAAATGTACACCATCTACTCTGCGTGATGCATACATTATCTTGGCCTAAATTCCATATTTAGCATAGTGATTGTAGAGACAGAACTTCATACGTTAGTAATCGACAATTGTTGCAGCGACGGATCTACCTATCTGCAGGTGCTGAATACCTGACAGAATATCAGCAGCTTAATATTCGAGTTGCAAGTTGAGAAATGCCTATTTGATTTTTTTAATATTTCAAATTTCTGGACAAATGTTGTTCTGACATTGTAGTTTCAACAGTAATGTATCTTTGACCCTTACATCCATATTCCTTAAAGAGAAAGTTCTCTAAAAGCGAGGGTCACACTTATGGTGACCTCCTCGCTCCTAGATGTCTAAGGAGCAGTTAAGAAAGCACGCTACAGTTCCATAGTATTTTAGCAAATGAACTGCATCTACTAGAAATGGAGACATTCGCAATGAGCCCAGTTTGCGAGACATCTTCTAAATATTTAATACCATATTTAATTTGTATAAATTGACACTCATAACAAGACCGACTTCCAAAAAATTATTGATGATAAAAAGATACTGTTCCAGCCACTTAAAGGACGTGTGATGCATCCATGTTCAAATTTCACGCAGTAGCAGCATAATATGCTTCATGATCCCTCGGCCAAAGTCAGATCCAGGAACAACTCCGCAGTACAATAAAACGTTGAAACAGGTTTGACAAAAGTCATTCGGTTATTAACCTACTCCGGAATATGGACATATAATTTTTTGCTTTTCATTGCATTGTGGCAAATGCATAATGATAAGTTAGGATTTTTGATAAATACTTGTGTAACGATCATTTGCCACTTCTCCGGATTAGTACAGAATAAAACAAACTTGTCCTGAGGATGGCAGGGTCGAAACGTTGTCAGTTCCAGTAAAGATTTCATTATCTGCTATTTCGCTTAAGTGTAGAATCACTGAACTTACAATTTATTTGAAGAAGACAGAACTAAAATGAATTTCAAAAACCTATTCCATTTTATCTACTACGATATTACGTACTGCAACATCATTTTAATTTGTGCAACTTTAATTGAGTATTTTACGATGGAGTAGTTTCCATAGCGTCTTAAGTCGATTTCTCCTCGGATTATGCCATGATGATAAACAACAGCGTGCTTGAAACATCAGATGAGTACGTTCATTCTCTTCACGTTGTTCCTTTAATCATTGGGTTACACCTTCTTTGTGAACGATTTTTACTACGATGCAATTTGCATAAACATCATAAGTTGTTCGTCTGCCAGAGTCTATTAAATACGATTAACTTTTACATGACCAAATTTCACGCCGTACTGTAACGTTCCGTTGCGCGGTAGCCCGAGGAGTACCGGCTGCTGAAACGACGTTAGTGGTGAACGTGAGGTGACTGTAGCGGGAAAATGATGCACAATACATCTGGAATTAGGGATGCTCAAATATCATGGAGCTGTCACGTGCTTAAATGGCCTCTTGCACAACTACGACGCAGAGGACAGCGCAAAAAGGTATGACATTCGGCCTTCGAGGAGTGAATGCAATTTCAATATCTCCTCTTAAACTAAAAACATAAACGGTCAACCGAGTACTAGACGTATGTCAGCGAAATTTTTCTCAGTTCATGACACGAATTATGACTTCTGTGACAGCCCAGGAATGCAAACTTCAGCTCATTTTCGAGGCCATGCCATCTCCACTTAGACCTTTTCTCATTCTCGGTATTAAAGACGCCGATACTGGGGCATGGAGCGCTTTGATGCCTGACAATCAGCATTACCGGAATGAATGATTAAATCTGACTGAGTGCTGAAAGCCGAAAGTCTGCATTCATACTGTCACTAAGGTAACCACCTATAAACCCGATACGACGTCTAAGCGAGTTT